AGAATATGACTAAGAAAAATTCAAGGAAAAATTAACGGTCGATATCTTAGAACATTTAAATACAGTAATGCAAGAAAATGAAATTTAGTAATATCCTTCTTATTTTATTTATTAATTAATTTTAATATCAGATATGTTATCTGTTATGCGTATGTTACGTACGTACGTACGTACGTACAAAGATTCTAACTTCGTATAACACTGTTTATTAACAAATACTTTGTGCGAAAAAAAGTAAAGGAATGCAGGGATAATTTTTTTTTCTGCGCAGATTATTCAAAGGAACAATTTAAAATTTTTTCACGGCATTTGTATGATAATTTTTAATTTAATAGTTTTTAATAGTTAAGCATCCATTTATAAAATATTAATTAACATAGCATATATTCAGCGGAAAATGACTAATATGTGATTGTAACTAAGTACTTTTGTGTCTGTCTTGGATCGGCCGTTAAAGGACAATAGATGAATTTGGAATCGGTGAAACATTGAAATTCTTAATTGAATACCGATAATCATAAATATTGTCCGGACAGACTGCATGACGATAAATCATGAAATTTAATACTAATATTATTAGATTAGTTATGCACGGCGCGCGGCTACTACCGGTTAAAAAGGTATTAATGGCGTTAACAAGAGGGATATCGACAAAGTTGGTATTTTTTCCCCGGTTATTCTTCGTGTGACTAAAACAATCAACAATGATTAATTATTTTAGAAATTTTAAATAAGTCATTTACGGATAAAATTTGTTTATAAATGCAGAAATGTCGTAAGTAGATATGTTACACAGACAATTTTTATCTCTTCTCATAAACACGGCCTAAAAAAAGATTGTACAGTTTTTTTTTACAATGGAATCGAATAAAGTTTAGTATATACATATAAATATATATGTCGTTGTAGGTGACCCGCACCGTTGTACACGCTTGGCGCCATTCAAAAATCCTATTTATTTGGGTTCTAATCAAAATTGAAAACCCCTCCCTATCCTCTCGGATTGTGGATACAACCTTTTTTTTCTAAAAAGTTCACGGGCATTCGGACTCTTGCCAACATGTTGCTAAATCGTTGGAAAGAGCGAATTCATCTTAAACGCGTGGCCCTTTCGTTATTAGTAGTGTTGTGTTTTTTGATAATTGCATCTGATGCTAGGGTTTTAACAAATTCATATAATGAAATTCAACCACTAACTGTATCTCAAGTCGATACTTATCCTGATGATACAATTATAATGCTACTTAAACCTATTACATTAGGATCATGTGGAGACTCTACATTATACTTTCGTATAATTGCTAAGAACGGAACTATGACCAAATTTGATTATCCTACAAACAATGGTACTATACCTTTGAATAATTTTTGTTTTCAGTCTAGTAATGTGCGTAAAAGAAATTCTAAAGAGTACGAAGAAGATTGTGATGACGGAAGTGAGCCAAAAAAGCATCCAAGTAAGCCAACAAAGAATCCGAAACATCCCGCAGGAAAAAAAGATTGTGATGATGGATCTGAAAATTGCGAAAATGATTGTAAACAATCTAAAGAGGATTGCGAAAAAGATTGTGGAGAATCTGATGAAGATTGCAAAAAAAGTTGTAACGACCAATGGGGAAATTGTGATGGAACACCGAATGGACAAAATGGAAATGGAACGACCCCTAATGGACCGAATGGACCAAATGGACCAAATGGACCAAATGGACCAAATGGACAGAATGGAAATGGAACAACTCCTAATGGACCAAATGGACCAAATGGACCGAATGGACCGAATGGACCGAATGGACCGAATGGACCGAATGGACCAGGAACAACCCCTAATGGACCAGGAACCACCCCTAATGGACCAGGAACAACCCCTAATGGACCAGGGACAACCCCTAATGGACCAGGAACAACCCCTAATGGACCAGGAACAACCCCTAATGGACCAGGAACAACCCCTAATGGACCAGGAACAACTCCTAATGGACCAAATGGACAAAATGGAACAACCCCTAATGGACCGAATAACGAACAAAACGGAACGTTACCGAATGTCACCATACCAATTAAGTCAAACGGCCCTGGAGTTATGATACCCAGATCAAAAACTTCATCATATAGTACTATCAATATTTATGCTCTATCCAAACCATTTGTACTTGTAACATATTATTGTAATTATCCACAATCCTATCAAATGTGTGGAATTATAATAGATTGGTCCAGTCGTAATGTTCGAGGGTAAGTTACCTGAAAAATTTTTCGTACATAATAAATACTTATTGCTCATGTTCATTAATTGATCCATTACGTAGAGATACGATTCATTTTAGTGAGAGTTGCTCAGCTATCAAAATAGTTAAAAGCTATAAAAGTGATGGATTTTTGTACACATGCTACAACTCTACAACTAACACTTTAATTTGGACACAATACACAATGTAAGTTTCTTTTTTTTTTGAAATACTTTACATGTTACAAATTTATTTATTCTCAAAGTTCTAGCGTCATTCAATCAATTTTGTTCTTTTAGAAAAACAGATGGTTCGATTACGACTGGCGCATCTGGCCAATCTAGTGAAATTACGAAGTTTACCGATATGTCACAATTTTCAAAATTTATAAACATTTTTCCTACTGAGAATAATGATTACGGATTAGTTTACACAAAATATGTGTCTCAATCTGGACAGGGAATAACAAGCCCATGGCAACTTTATTTAATTTGGATTTCCCATACAGACTCTTCAACTAAAGGAAATTCCCTCATATATGAATCGCAGCCCAGTACAAATACTACTGATTATTACTTGTACCAATGTTCTGTTGCACAGGAATCAGTTGGATACAATTGTTTGGTTTATACTAAACGAACAGATAAAACTGTATACGTTAATGTTAATTTTTGGTCTTCTGGCTCTGTCAATAAAACGAATGAAATTACTGTAAATATGCCTGCTCCATATACTACTGTGGTTGATGTCGGAACTTTATCCTATGGTGGTTATATTTTTGTTGTTAAGAACACTACAAATGCTACAGATATGGGCAATGTTCAAGGACTTGTGTATTACAATAATGGAACCGATCATGGAACTTGGGGTCTTCCTGATTTTACAGCTGGTATACCGATCGTTGGCGTGACTCCAAACAACACTGTGTGGACCATTACTCAAAGCACAAATAATACAAGTAATAGTTCAAGTTGGACTCTTTATTCATCTGACAACCTAACAAATTTCCGTCCAGGTAAGCGATAATTGAAATTGTTACAAATATTACAAACTTTATTGATCTAAAAATACCATTTAAATCCCCCAAAAAAGCTGGTATGCTTGGTTCATCCTATATTTCGCATGTCACACCAGCATCGAATACGACCATTGCGCCACGATTTTCAGAAATTAAGATAACGTATAATAACCAAATTTATAAATCCAATGGGTCTTTCAAAGTCTGGGAAGTAAATACCGTTGGAGGTGATGATTTTTTACGTGGCGCAATTCCGGCTTCTCATGATAGAGTTACAGTTAACAATGAAAATGTAACCGTAAAACTGTTACCAAGCTATATGGGTGGTAGTCATAAAGAATATTACATTACAGTGGATGATAATGCAATAAAAAACGCGCAAGATCAGAACCTTATTGGTATCAAAAAATCTGTGTGGAATTTAAATACATGTATTTATTTCATCCATAACTATTTATTTAATTATTTCAGTCATTTTCAATTATTAATACATTACAATTCTATATTTTTTGTTTTAGCCGACGCTGTCATCGATACTTCGAAGGGTAATATTAAATTTCCAAATATTTATTTCTTAAATCGTCCTGCAGAAAATTTTCCTGCAAATTGTCACAAACGATCTGTGATTGGTGTGATTGGACTATCAAACTATGTTGAATTTTGAACATATAATAATGATAGTGGGATGGTGTAAGAAATAGTCATTTATAAAAAAAAGAATATCATTATTAACGTAATTTAATACATAGGTGATAGAAGCGTTATCATTCGTCTAACCCCTGAAGGAACTCAACATTACGTAGATTTATCATCAAACGACCGATCTACCTTTGTTAAAAATATGAGTGGTGATATTGCCACAGTTATTAATTGTGATGCTTCGCGTATTTCAATACCGGTACTTTATCAATACAGTAATTATAATAATAGTGGTGATCAAATTTTTATGCGTGTTAATATTGCCCAAAATGCCCCAAGCGGTCAAAGCACTCAAGGTGCCCAAGGCGCCCAAGGAGATAGTAGAGGTGCACCTAGCCTTGCTGAGGACTTAAATGATGTGATCACTAACAAGGATATTTCGGCAATTTCCACTGGCACCACCTCTCAATACATTGATCAACCTAATGGTGCTTGGCCAATACGTACGTTCTCATGTTATTCATGATACCCATATATTCTATGCACATTTCCTTGTATATTTACCAGTTATGTATTTTTAATTAATTTTTATACAGCTGACTTATGGAGTAGATACAAATTTATCCTTATTGGCGTTTTTGTTGGACTTTTACTATTATTTCTTTTATGGTGCCTTACGTGTTGTAGGCGCTACAGGGTAAAAATAGTCTATAAATATGAATGAATGTGTTTTTTTTTTAATATAATATACTAAAATATTTGTCATTTTAAAGGAAGATGATATGAAACATAGAAGGAGAGATCATGCAATTCTCAACTTCTTGACTATCTTTGTGTCCACGCTAATAGTGGTAGATCTTGTATTAGACATTTTATTTATTGTTTTTCATGGAAAGGACGAAAAATGGATTATGGTTGTTAGGTTTGTTATACTCTTTAGCAAAATAAAATATATTTTGAGATTGTTACCTGTAATTAATAAAATTAAATATTGGCTTTCTTTTCAGTGTTGTTTTCTTAGTGGTTCCCGTCGCGTTCTGCACTTTGTTTACAACCTTAATTATTAATAGCGAGCTTAGTGAAAATGAACGATATAAAAGATGGTGGAAGAATCATAGCTACACTGCGCTAGCTTTATCAATGTGCTCTGCAATTGATAATGAAGCTTTGAACGTGGCATCTTCACATTTTGCTGGTTATAGATCATTCAGTGCACCCTACACACGAACCACAGATCAGCGGATTATCTATGCTACCGTTTTTATTATGTTTATCGAAGACATACCTCAATTCATATATTTGGTAAATAAATTGTTAAAGATATTAAATATAATCAGTGATATCTTTGTTAGTGATAAAACTAATATATTTTATTTATATAGATTATTTATCAAAAAGTTACCATTTGTAGGTCCTTTAGGTGGAGCGGCACCATCTTCAATACTATCTTTTTCTCCCAGTTCTTCATCATATTCATCATCATGTCGATCTCGTTCACGTTCACAGAAGAATGCAAGATATATTATCGATATTATTCTAACAAATATGAGAATTGTGCATGAAGAAAGTGCAAGAATAGGAACAATGGCCGGGATGATGGTAACTTTTTGATAAATAATCTATATAAATAAAATATATTAGTTTTATCACTAACAAAGATATCACTGATTATATTTAATATCTTTAACAATTTATTTACCAAATATATGAATTGAGGTATGTCTTCGATAAACATAATAAAAACGGTAGCATAGATAATCCGCTGATCTGTGGTTCGTGTGTAGGGTGCACTGAATGATCTATAACCAGCAAAATGTGAAGATGCCACGTTCAAAGCTTCATTATCAATTGCAGAGCACATTGATAAAGCTAGCGCAGTGTAGCTATGATTCTTCCACCATCTTTTATATCGTTCATTTTCACTAAGCTCGCTATTAATAATTAAGGTTGTAAACAAAGTGCAGAACGCGACGGGAACCACTAAGAAAACAACACTGAAAAGAAAGCCAATATTTAATTTTATTAATTACAGGTAACAATCTCAAAATATATTTTATTTTGCTAAAGAGTATAACAAACCTAACAACCATAATCCATTTTTCGTCCTTTCCATGAAAAACAATAAATAAAATGTCTAATACAAGATCTACCACTATTAGCGTGGACACAAAGATAGTCAAGAAGTTGAGAATTGCATGATCTCTCCTTCTATGTTTCATATCATCTTCCTTTAAAATGACAAATATTTTAGTATATTATATTAAAAAAAAAACACATTCATTCATATTTATAGACTATTTTTACCCTGTAGCGCCTACAACACGTAAGGCACCATAAAAGAAATAATAGTAAAAGTCCAACAAAAACGCCAATAAGGATAAATTTGTATCTACTCCATAAGTCAGCTGTATAAAAATTAATTAAAAATACATAACTGGTAAATATACAAGGAAATGTGCATAGAATATATGGGTATCATGAATAACATGAGAACGTACGTATTGGCCAAGCACCATTAGGTTGATCAATGTATTGAGAGGTGGTGCCAGTGGAAATTGCCGAAATATCCTTGTTAGTGATCACATCATTTAAGTCCTCAGCAAGGCTAGGTGCACCTCTACTATCTCCTTGGGCGCCTTGGGCACCTTGAGTGCTTTGACCGCTTGGGGCATTTTGGGCAATATTAACACGCATAAAAATTTGATCACCACTATTATTATAATTACTGTATTGATAAAGTACCGGTATTGAAATACGCGAAGCATCACAATTAATAACTGTGGCAATATCACCACTCATATTTTTAACAAAGGTAGATCGGTCGTTTGATGATAAATCTACGTAATGTTGAGTTCCTTCAGGGGTTAGACGAATGATAACGCTTCTATCACCTATGTATTAAATTACGTTAATAATGATATTCTTTTTTTTATAAATGACTATTTCTTACACCATCCCACTATCATTATTATATGTTCAAAATTCAACATAGTTTGATAGTCCAATCACACCAATCACAGATCGTTTGTGACAATTTGCAGGAAAATTTTCTGCAGGACGATTTAAGAAATAAATATTTGGAAATTTAATATTACCCTTCGAAGTATCGATGACAGCGTCGGCTAAAACAAAAAATATAGAATTGTAATGTATTAATAATTGAAAATGACTGAAATAATTAAATAAATAGTTATGGATGAAATAAATACATGTATTTAAATTCCACACAGATTTTTTGATACCAATAAGGTTCTGATCTTGCGCGTTTTTTATTGCATTATCATCCACTGTAATGTAATATTCTTTATGACTACCACCCATATAGCTTGGTAACAGTTTTACGGTTACATTTTCATTGTTAACTGTAACTCTATCATGAGAAGCCGGAATTGCGCCACGTAAAAAATCATCACCTCCAACGGTATTTACTTCCCAGACTTTGAAAGACCCATTGGATTTATAAATTTGGTTATTATACGTTATCTTAATTTCTGAAAATCGTGGCGCAATGGTCGTATTCGATGCTGGTGTGACATGCGAAATATAGGATGAACCAAGCATACCAGCTTTTTTGGGGGATTTAAATGGTATTTTTAGATCAATAAAGTTTGTAATATTTGTAACAATTTCAATTATCGCTTACCTGGACGGAAATTTGTTAGGTTGTCAGATGAATAAAGAGTCCAACTTGAACTATTACTTGTATTATTTGTGCTTTGAGTAATGGTCCACACAGTGTTGTTTGGAGTCACGCCAACGATCGGTATACCAGCTGTAAAATCAGGAAGACCCCAAGTTCCATGATCGGTTCCATTATTGTAATACACAAGTCCTTGAACATTGCCCATATCTGTAGCATTTGTAGTGTTCTTAACAACAAAAATATAACCACCATAGGATAAAGTTCCGACATCAACCACAGTAGTATATGGAGCAGGCATATTTACAGTAATTTCATTCGTTTTATTGACAGAGCCAGAAGACCAAAAATTAACATTAACGTATACAGTTTTATCTGTTCGTTTAGTATAAACCAAACAATTGTATCCAACTGATTCCTGTGCAACAGAACATTGGTACAAGTAATAATCAGTAGTATTTGTACTGGGCTGCGATTCATATATGAGGGAATTTCCTTTAGTTGAAGAGTCTGTATGGGAAATCCAAATTAAATAAAGTTGCCATGGGCTTGTTATTCCCTGTCCAGATTGAGACACATATTTTGTGTAAACTAATCCGTAATCATTATTCTCAGTAGGAAAAATGTTTATAAATTTTGAAAATTGTGACATATCGGTAAACTTCGTAATTTCACTAGATTGGCCAGATGCGCCAGTCGTAATCGAACCATCTGTTTTTCTAAAAGAACAAAATTGATTGAATGACGCTAGAACTTTGAGAATAAATAAATTTGTAACATGTAAAGTATTTCAAAAAAAAAAGAAACTTACATTGTGTATTGTGTCCAAATTAAAGTGTTAGTTGTAGAGTTGTAGCATGTGTACAAAAATCCATCACTTTTATAGCTTTTAACTATTTTGATAGCTGAGCAACTCTCACTAAAATGAATCGTATCTCTACGTAATGGATCAATTAATGAACATGAGCAATAAGTATTTATTATGTACGAAAAATTTTTCAGGTAACTTACCCTCGAACATTACGACTGGACCAATCTATTATAATTCCACACATTTGATAGGATTGTGGATAATTACAATAATATGTTACAAGTACAAATGGTTTGGATAGAGCATAAATATTGATAGTACTATATGATGAAGTTTTTGATCTGGGTATCATAACTCCAGGGCCGTTTGACTTAATTGGTATGGTGACATTCGGTAACGTTCCGTTTTGTTCGTTATTCGGTCCATTAGGGGTTGTTCCATTTTGTCCATTTGGTCCATTAGGAGTTGTTCCTGGTCCATTAGGGGTTGTTCCTGGTCCATTAGGGGTTGTTCCTGGTCCATTAGGGGTTGTTCCTGGTCCATTAGGGGTTGTCCCTGGTCCATTAGGGGTTGTTCCTGGTCCATTAGGGGTGGTTCCTGGTCCATTAGGGGTTGTTCCTGGTCCATTCGGTCCATTCGGTCCATTCGGTCCATTCGGTCCATTCGGTCCATTTGGTCCATTTGGTCCATTAGGAGTTGTTCCATTTCCATTCTGTCCATTTGGTCCATTTGGTCCATTTGGTCCATTTGGTCCATTCGGTCCATTAGGGGTCGTTCCATTTCCATTTTGTCCATTCGGTGTTCCATCACAATTTCCCCATTGGTCGTTACAACTTTTTTTGCAATCTTCATCAGATTCTCCACAATCTTTTTCGCAATCCTCTTTAGATTGTTTACAATCATTTTCGCAATTTTCAGATCCATCATCACAATCTTTTTTTCCTGCGGGATGTTTCGGATTCTTTGTTGGCTTACTTGGATGCTTTTTTGGCTCACTTCCGTCATCACAATCTTCTTCGTACTCTTTAGAATTTCTTTTACGCACATTACTAGACTGAAAACAAAAATTATTCAAAGGTATAGTACCATTGTTTGTAGGATAATCAAATTTGGTCATAGTTCCGTTCTTAGCAATTATACGAAAGTATAATGTAGAGTCTCCACATGATCCTAATGTAATAGGTTTAAGTAGCATTATAATTGTATCATCAGGATAAGTATCGACTTGAGATACAGTTAGTGGTTGAATTTCATTATATGAATTTGTTAAAACCCTAGCATCAGATGCAATTATCAAAAAACACAACACTACTAATAACGAAAGGGCCACGCGTTTAAGATGAATTCGCTCTTTCCAACGATTTAGCAACATGTTGGCAAGAGTCCGAATGCCCGTGAACTTTTTAGAAAAAAAAGGTTGTATCCACAATCCGAGAGGATAGGGAGGGGTTTTCAATTTTGATTAGAACCCAAATAAATAGGATTTTTGAATGGCGCCAAGCGTGTACAACGGTGCGGGTCACCTACAACGACATATATATTTATATGTATATACTAAACTTTATTCGATTCCATTGTAAAAAAAAACTGTACAATCTTTTTTTAGGCCGTGTTTATGAGAAGAGATAAAAATTGTCTGTGTAACATATCTACTTACGACATTTCTGCATTTATAAACAAATTTTATCCGTAAATGACTTATTTAAAATTTCTAAAATAATTAATCATTGTTGATTGTTTTAGTCACACGAAGAATAACCGGGGAAAAAATACCAACTTTGTCGATATCCCTCTTGTTAACGCCATTAATACCTTTTTAACCGGTAGTAGCCGCGCGCCGTGCATAACTAATCTAATAATATTAGTATTAAATTTCATGATTTATCGTCATGCAGTCTGTCCGGACAATATTTATGATTATCGGTATTCAATTAAGAATTTCAATGTTTCACCGATTCCAAATTCATCTATTGTCCTTTAACGGCCGATCCAAGACAGACACAAAAGTACTTAGTTACAATCACATATTAGTCATTTTCCGCTGAATATATGCTATGTTAATTAATATTTTATAAATGGATGCTTAACTATTAAAAACTATTAAATTAAAAATTATCATACAAATGCCGTGAAAAAATTTTAAATTGTTCCTTTGAATAATCTGCGCAGAAAAAAAAATTATCCCTGCATTCCTTTACTTTTTTTCGCACAAAGTATTTGTTAATAAACAGTGTTATACGAAGTTAGAATCTTTGTACGTACGTACGTACGTACGTAACATACGCATAACAGATAACATATCTGATATTAAAATTAATTAATAAATAAAATAAGAAGGATATTACTAAATTTCATTTTCTTGCATTACTGTATTTAAATGTTCTAAGATATCGACCGTTAATTTTTCCTTGAATTTTTCTTAGTCATATTCTATATGAAAATGTATTATTCTAAATAAAGTGTAAACTATGTATTACGTCATTAACTAAATTCTAAAATTAATATCACTGTAATTAATTATGAATTTTGTGATGTATCGATTGTACTACCGTTTGCAAATATTCATTCTAAATGAAAGACGTACTATATATTGTTAGTTTATAATTGGATTTAAGCTGCAAATTAAATATGGCTGGACAGCGATTAATTGAGTAGTAAAATCGTTAGATCATTCGTATATAGTAAAAGTAGTTTTAAATCTTCAATTTAAAAATTTTGTCAATTAAACTAAATATTGTTTGTAATACGATCTCAAATTAAAAATATTTTGATGTCGATAAATATTTACAGTAGAATAATCAAAATAGTAATAATGTTTATTAATAAAAGTAATTCTAATATTATAATTATTACTTTTTAAATCTTTTTGAGTGCATCATTTTTGGATTTTATGCAAATGATGTAAGTGTGCATTTAGAGTGGGAAATTTATAAATTCTCTATGCTTAGATCCCAGAATCTTTCTATCTTACAGTTCCAAAAAATCAAATGCTATAATCAAATTATTGCCAAAACTTGAAACCTATCTTGGGATCAGGCGAAGGCGTACATTTGGAGAGAGTGCATATACTGCGTGTATTTATAGCGAGTGTGTAAATTTATAATGATTGAATATTTATAGTAGTAAGCAATGAAAAACGGAAACAAGTTTACGTATTTTTTTCTGTCACGTTTTCGCGCGTTGTCATTTCTTAATTTCTGCCTAGGTTTCCTACTGGAAAAAAATTCTCAAATCGTTTTTGAAAAACTTCTTTTGCCTCGAAATTTTGTCTATGAAATCCTATATTAAGGCATCTTTTTTTCGATATATTAGAATCTAATTCTCTAGCGTCTCTAGTGCTAGTTAAGATGTGATTCTTTGATCCTGTCAACCTGTCAACAGGTGTCTAAATTCCATTGTTACACGTGCGTACTTGGCTGTTATCAAGTGCCCCTTACAGTTTATCTAATGACTGATTGACTAAAAAATAAATAGTGGTTGTCTGTCCTATTAATAACACTACAGTACTAGATTACTTATCTTCTATGTTAATTTCTGAATTTGCTGTGTCGAGATGTATGATGAAAATGAAAAACCTGCGTCAGCAGTGATCGACAAAAAAATCAGGCCAAAGTTACACAAATTTTACTAATGAAACCACAGCCGCTCATAAATATCTCTGGACTAATTTTACTATGAAGCAGGTTTATTTTCTAGAATAATTTCTTTTTTTAGATTGAAAAAATTAATTTTTGGCCAAATTTAGAATTTTAAGATCGTCGGCCTAAATTGGATTAATGCAGGCCAACTGCCGTATTTGGTGTGGTGGCTAGATTCAATGGCGCAGCTGAGCTGCGCCTATAACCATATGATTTATTTATCTCGTAATCGAAATTATATTACGACCTGGATTTAATATAAGATCCTAGCGTCACCCATACGAGCGAAATTTTTTGATCTGTAATTGCCAGGATTTTCAAATATAAAATCATACGATTATATTTGGTTTGTCAATGCTATAAATGGCTTATGAAACTGCTTATGAAACCGCTTAAAAAACAAGATTAAATTATCGCATGTTCTAATTGGCTGATGGCAACTTGATTATTTTGGTTACTTTGCGGAAATCTTACATTTTTGCGATAGCAACAAAATATTCTAGATCTAGTGTAAATTATTGTCACGGGATGATAGTGAGTCAGATTATGGTGAAATTTGACTTTAAAATTTTTGGACCTTTTTTTGTCGGCTTTTTTTTTATAGTTAAGTTTAGGATTTAGGGTTATAGTTATTAGTAAAAAAAAGTATAGGTGGGGCTTATATTATCAAATTGAGATCCCAAATTTCACCATCATCCGACTTCACGACCATCCGCGACAATTATTAATAATATAGGTCATTAACGTTAAGAGGAAATTTTCATAGTAAATCACAAATTTAGTTTTTTACTAACACTATTTTGACGAAATGTGAAAATTAGTACTTCGCGGAAATCTTACATTTTTGTGATAGCGACAAAGATATTCTATATCTAGTATAAATTATTAATAATATAGGTCACTAAGGAAATTTTCATAGCAAATAGCAAATTTAGTTTCTTACTAGCATTATTAACGAGGTTTTTGACGAAATGCGAAAAATTAGTAGCCTTTTCGAAAAAACCTCGTTAATAGTGCTAGTACAGTAGTAAGAAACTAAATTTGCGATTTACTATGAAATTCCTCCTGGCAATGTATATTATTAATAATTTACACTAGATCTAGAATATTCTGTCGCTATCGCAAAAACTTTAGATTTCCGCAAGGTACGCTGCATATATATATAGTACTATTATATCACTTATCACGATTTTCCCATCACCCATATGCCACTCTAAAAACATTTCGCTATCAGTATTAAGATTTTTGTTTTAATTTTATGTTGCACCTGATTTTGAATTTTAATTTGACCAGACAGCGAAATTTTTTAGGTGGTGATACGTACTGTATCTGATTGGTTAATTTTTTCAACTTCAGTCACATCGTAAAATTTTATTTCTTTAATCGAAATATGCATGTTTCTTGACATCAGTTGGTGATACAAAAGTCAAAAAGTCGTAAGATTCGAATTTATAATAATAATCGTAACGATGTTTTAAAACATATATTAAAATTGATTTATTGCGGTTTGCAAAATTACGTGAAGGTAATCACTAATTTCCGATTACTGATTTCCGATTTCTTCAACATTTTTTTTGACTTTTAGGCTAGACAAAATTTGCACATTTATCATTGTAAAAATTTGATTGGATATTTTAATGCGCAACCCTTATTTTTGCAAATATATTACAAAATGATGAATATGTAACAAAATAATAGATACGCAAATTTTGTCTAATCTAAAAGTCGTTGAAGAAATAGGAAATCAGTAATCAGAAATTAGTGATAACTTTTTTTATAATTTGCAAACCGCGATAAACCATTCTGTTTAAAATCATTTGCCATCCCTACTTATCATTATTGAAATTGAATAACGATAATATCGCAGATGAGTTGAAATCGGATGGTGCTGAATAGTGTTTTAATTGGTAAAAATTTTGCTAATCGATCAGTTGCCAACTATAGTTGCAATAATCGATTTTCATACCATGTGACTAAATTTGCTGATTAGCTAATCAAACTAATATCCCGAAATTGAACAAATTTTAAATTTTTTAGTTGGAAAGTTGTCAACTAGTTGATTTTTAACTAAACAATTTGAATCACTATATACAAGAAAGAACAGCCATTAATTTTAAATTGCCACTATTTTTTTTAAATCAATTATTTGTCAAAGCTTATTATTTAATAGAATAGATTTAAACAATCTAATAATAATTTAAAATCCAAGTATTAAAAAAGTTATAACAGTTTAAAACTACTAATTGCTATTAGTAATCAGTACAAATTTAAAATTTTATATAAGTTAAATATATAATTTGATTAAATAAACAATAAATTATGCAGAATAGTTTGTTTTTATAAAATATTGTATAATAAAATTTTGCAATTTGATTGGTTTAAAAATTAAAATTTAAAATCAGATATGTATTTTAAATTTTAAAATAAACTTATATAAGGTTATACAAACTTAATAAATTGGTTCTTATAATTTGACCAGGTTATATTTTGTAAAATTTATTATTATATTTACTATTTTGGTGAAGTTTTTTATAAGTTTATAAAAATTTTTATATAGTTGTTATATATAAAATTTTTGAATATAAAATTAAAAATTGCAAAAATACTATTCTTGATAGATTATCAGTACTGTTTTGATAGATAGCAAAAAAAATCTATATACTGTTCTTGATAGAGTTTTAAAAAAAAACACTATATTACTATAGTAAAAAACAACTAGAATTAGAGTTTATTT